CTGAGGGATGGTCATTAAATCCTTGGGAGCAGATGAGATCAAGTGAAGCAGTATGGAGTGAGATGAAGAGAGGGCCCAGGACAGAACCCTGAGGGACCCTTATGGTTAGGGGGCATGATATGAAGGTGGATCAAGCAAAGGAGACAGAAGAGTGGTCAGAGACATGGGAGGAGATCCAGGAGAGATGAATGGTTCTGAAAATCTAGAGAGAAGACAGCATCAAAGAGGAGAGAGTGATCCTCAGGGCTATAGAAAGGTCAGTAGAATGAGAATTAAGAAAAGGCCATTGGATTTGGCAAGTAGGAAATCATTAGCAATTTGGAGAGGGCAGTTTTTGGGGAAAGATAAGGTTGGAATGTGGATTAGGTGGGATTACAAAGAGAGTGAGAGGAGGCAAAGTGGAAGCCCCTATTGTAGACAGTCTTCTTGAGGGTTTAACTACAAAGGGCAGAAGAAATATGAGATGATAGTGGGGTAGGAGGATCATGAGAGTTGTTTGAGGGTGGAGAATATGTGACATGCTTGTAGGCAATAAGAAAGAGCAAGGAAAGAGAGAAAGATTGAGAATGAGACAATGGAGATAATCTTCTGGAGGAGATGGGGTGAAATGGGGTCACTTGAACAAAGAGAGGGGTCAGCCTTGATAAGGAGTAAGGTCACTTCATCATGTGAGGCAGAGGTAAGTGCATAGTTTCCTCATCTGTAAAATGGGAATACTAATAGCACCTGCCTCTTAGATTGTTGTGGGGATGAAATGAGATATGTGTTAAGCACTTTGTCAGCCTTAAAGCATAGAAATGTCAGGCATTGATAAATGCCTATGGATTGATTGACAGGTGGATTGATGAAGTCAAAGGAGTCACAGAACAAAATCTCCAGGATGGAAGGAAACTCAAGGGCATCTAGTTACCCGTGCCTTAATTCCATCTTCTGTAGAAAGCTCTCCCCAGCCCTCCTTAATTCTAGTGCCTTCCCTCCATCAATGATGTCCTATTTGGCCCATGGAGAGCTTCCTTGATATTTGTTTGTGTGTTTCCTCCCCTATTAGATTGTAAGCTTTTTGAAGGCAGGGGCTGTCCTTTGCCTCTTTTGGTATGCCTGGCACATAGTAGGCACATGATAAATGTTTATTAATTGGTTGAAGAAGCCCCGCTAGAGCACATCTGTGGAATGGAAATCCAGTTCTTACTTGAAGAACTCCACTGAGGAGGAATCCATCACTCTTAGAAGCATGCAGCCAATGAAGATTTATTAAGTACCTACTATGTGCCACAAATACAGATACAGAAACAAAACTCATAATATAATGGAGGAAGAAAGCCAATTAAAAAGCTGAAAGGATAGATGAGAGGCAAGGGAGGAGAACAAAGGTAAAATCCTGCAGTCAGGTGGGAAATGATGAGGCTGCCCTCGGCCCCGTTCTTAAATGGGGGATCTAGGAGTTCTTTGGTGCCTACTTTCCACCTTCTCCAGTGAGAGGGAGGGAGGACCCCCAGGGCGGGGTTACTGAGGAGGTGTGTTTCAGAGAAACCATCCCTTTCACTTTTGGACAGCTCTAGTTGTAAATGAGGGTTCCCCCACCCCCATTGTATCTAGCCTAAATACCTCTCTGTTCCTAATTCTGCCCTTTGGCACCAAGCAGGACAAAGTTAATCCCTCTTCCAATTGGCCTTTCAAGGAAGTGAAGACAGCTCCATGCCCAACCCTCTCCCCCTAAATACCCATATTGTCCTATAGGTTAAGCATTCCCAAGCCCATCAAATGTTTCTCCTATAGCATTATCTCAAGGGTTATTTTTATCTGGAGGTAGGGTGGTGCAGTGGAAAGACCACTGGTTTCGGGTTCAAGTATCTGCTCTGATACTACCCATGTGAGCCTGGACCAGTCACTTTCCTCTCTGGACCTCTGTCTTTCCTCTGCAAAATGAGGGGTTTGGCCTGGATAACACTAATGGCTCTTCTAGTTCTAAAGCTATAAGTGTACGAGTTTATCTTGCCTCCTCTAGAGATTACCAGTGTCATTTCTAAAGCTGTGGTGCCCAGAACTGAATGCAATGCCCCAAAGTAGGTTAGAGCAGGAAAGATGACAGCATAACAATCTCTTCCCTAGCTCTGTACCCTGTGCCGCTCTTCATATGACCTGGGATGCCACAGCCTTCTTGTCTGCCTTAGCAAAAGACTAACTAATACTGACCTTGCTGTCTACTTAATCTCCAGCTCTTTTTTCAACCAAACTCTTGTCATATCTTGTCTATCTTGTGCTTGAGAAATTGAGTTTTTGGACCCAAGTGTTAAGAATCAAAATGTATTTGAATTACATTTAATTTTAAATTAAATTCATCAAAAATATTGACCATCATGTATATATGATCTCTCTCTCTTTTTCTCTCTCTCGTCTCTCTGCATATGTATATGTGCGTATGCGTATGTGTATATATATGTATATATGTGTATGTTTATCTATCTATCCATCTATCCATCTATTTATCATCTATCTATCCATCCATCCATCCATCCATCCATCCATCCATCCATCCATCCATCTATCTATCTATCTATCTATCTATCTATCTATCTATCTATCTATCTATCTGTCTGTCTGTCTGTCTGTCTGTCTGTCTGTCTGTCTGTCTGTCTATCTGTCTGTCTATCTATCTATCTATCTATCTATCTATCTATCTATCTATCTATCTATCTATCTATCTATCCATCCATCTAGCCATCTATCTATCCATCTATCTATGTATCTATCTATCTATTTGCAGATAGAGCCTTCTGAGCTGCAGGATGGAATCATAGCAGAGATCCAGCTAGGCTGAGGCCCATTTAGAGACTTTATTATCCTGTTCACTATTTCCAACATAATTATCAATTAAATGAGGCAGGATGATATAGTGGAGGAATGTTCAGTCAGAGGACCTAGGTTTGAATCCCACCCCTGCAAATGACTACCTATATAACCTTGGCAGCTGCGAGCCCTGTGCTTGGTGTCAGAAGACCTGAATTCAGATCTTGCCTCAGACTTAACTATGCAACCCTCAGTAATTCTCTGAAACTCTCTCAACCTCAGTTTCTACATATGTAAAATGGGCAGAGTAATCATGTATTTTAAAGGGTTGTCGTAAAGAGCTAATGAGGTAACACACACACAGTTCCTGGTAAACCTTAAACACCTTTAGAATATTAAGAAAATGTGGATTAATGATGGTCCCCACTGTCAAGTCATATTTCCTTTGTGCCTCAGTTTCCTCATCTGTAAAATGAAAACATTGGACTACATGGCCTCTGAGATCCCTCCAGCTCCAGATCTATGACCCTATTATCCTATCATCTCTAAGACTTCTTCCAGATAAAGCATTCTATGGTTCATAAATAAACTGTGGGTCCTTGATTGGCCTTTTGCCCAAAAGGTATCTCCCTACTCTTTACCTCTTGTTTACACAATGCGTGAGGATGGGGACAGAGCCTTTCATTCCATAGTGAGAGAGCACAGCTTTTGAGTGGAAAGAGACCTCAGAGGTCATCTAATTCAGACCTGTCAACCTGAAAGCTTAGAAAGCCACATACTGGTGTTATCTATGTTGTGTGGTATTTTTATTTTGTTTTAACATTCCTAAATTACATTTTAATTTGCCCCCAGCTCTACTCAGGAATGAAGAGCTATGATGTTTCAGGCAGGGGTCTTGTGTTTGACATTCATGACACTGCAACTTCCTTTTTTTATAGAGGAGGAAATAGAAGGCCAGGGAAGCAAAACTGGACCAGCTGAAATTCAAGCCCAGGTCCTCTGACTCCAAATCAGCTTCCTCCCCACCATTCCATAAAGACCACTAGAAGGGAAAACAAGGATTTCCCTTCACCCCTGGCTCCTGGTCTCAACTACATAAACTGAGGAAGGTTTGAAAAGTAGTTCCAAGCACTTAGAAGTGCCTGCCTATCAGAGAAGATGGTTTCCACCTTGGTGTCCTGAACACCTTGGGCAGTCTGCTGAAGCCTATGGAAACTTCCTCAGAATAGTAAATACATAAAATAACGTACATAGGATTACAAATGAAATTCCAATTACATTGAAATATATTGGAATTTTATTTCAATTATATTGAAATTGCATTCCAATTTAATTCAATTATATGGGAATTTTATTCCAATTATATTGGATTTTTATTTCATCTGTTCCAATGCTATTGGGATTTATTCAAATTATTCCAATTTATTCCACTCATATTAGAATTTTATTCTAATTTATTTAAATTATACTGGCATTTTATTCCATTTATTCCAATCATATTGGAATTTTATTCTTGTTTATTCTAATTCTATTAGAATTTTGTTCTAATTATCCTAATTTATTCCAAATCTAATGGGATTTTATTCTAATTAGTCCTGTAAAATTGAAATTATTTTCTCTCATTCAAGTTCACAAACCCACTAAAATCTATTCATATGCTCGTTGCCGGTCCCTGGATCCCAGGTTTAGAGTCCCCCTATGTTAGTTGTCAAGCCCACTAGGAGGCAGTTGGTAATAGGGACAAGAGAGTTGACTTCAAGCCAGCTGAGCTGGGTTCCAATGAAGGCTCTGAAATTGACAAAGAGCTGGGGGACCTTGTCAGTTTCCTGGCCTCCCTGGACCTCAGCTTGCCATTCTCCTAAACAAGAAGATGACGTGATGGGTCCCTTCTTGTCTCAAAGGCCTGGCCCTGTGCTTTGGGGTCCAGTGTGTGGAGCCTTCTCAGGCTACTCTGGCCAAGTTTTTTCTCCAGTTCGAAGCAGACAAGCCCAGATTTATTTTTACAGGGGCAGGAGGGACTGTGGGTGTGTGTGTGTTTGCCCCCAGGAGGCAGGCCCAGGGAGAGGGGAAAGAACTGCACACAGAAGGGAGGCGGGCACTCCCTGGAGCTCTCATTGGCAGGCCTATGAAACCAGCCCAGGTAGCAGCTCCAGGGGAACAAACACAGCTTGAGCTTTGTCCCTCGTGTGAACACTGCTCCTGGTGGGCCCCAGAGCTGCTGCTGTTGCTGCGGGAACAGGAAGAGGGAGGAGGAGCTTGACTTGTCTGTCTTTGGTTCCAGAGCAGAAAAAATGCAGCTCTCTCTGGGAAATGCGCTCCTTTCCGTTTGGGAAACAGGGCCCCTGCAGAGCCTCCTTCTCTTCTTTGCCATCCTCCTCATCCTGGCACAGTATCTGCAGAGGAGGAGGCAGCATCACAACTGTCCCCCTAGTCCTCCTGGGCTGCCCATATTGGGCAACTTCTTCCAGATGGTCTTTAAAAACCCCCAAATGACCATCCAAAAGGTAAGGAGTGAGATGGCTATGAGGGGACGTGGTAGCTGGGGCCCTGGGGAATGTGCTGGATTGGGCAGCCACAAGCCTGGGTGTCTATCCTCCTCTGGGTCTGCCTGGGAAGCAGCCCCTTGCAATGGAGAGAACATTTGGTTTGGGGCTTAGAGGGCCTGGGTTCGCATCCCCCCTCTGACTTGTGGGACCTGGAGAAAGCCATGAGCTCCTCACTTGTAGGGTGTGTCATTGCGGAATTAACTTCCGCATGTGGTCAGCGTTCGATGGCCACCGAGGTCCCTTCTGACTCACTTTCTGTGATTCTGATGCAACGAGATGATTGTAAAGTGCTTCACAAATGATTGGCACTCATTAAGCACTATATAAATGTCAGCTATTATTTTTGTTTTTGTTATCTATAACATAATTGGCAAGCTCCTTGCAAACCTGTCTTTTGCTTAGCACAGTACCTGGCACCTAGTAAACACATAATAAATGTTCATTAATAGACTGACTGGCAGAAATTGCATAGGTAGCCTCTGAGGTCCCTTCAAACTCTGGAATCAGGGCCACTGAATTTTAGTTAAATATATTTTTGATCACTGCATTTTAATATTGGTTTTCCTTTTTTATTTTCTGCATTTAACAACTTTCTTCTGAGAAGGACCCATAGGATTCAGCAGACTAACAAAGGGACAGCCCCCCTCCCCCCACACACACACAGAGGAAAGGTTAAGACTCCATGGTCTGTGACCCTGATATAATGAGTTTGGACAAGCTGTGTCAGGTCTCTGATCTTCACTTGCCTTATTGCTCAACCCTGGGTGTTAACATTATACTGCCAAACATCGCAGGAGTGTTTCTTTCAATTAAGCTCACCAAACACTAACAATCATTTTTTTTAACCTGACAGATCACACTGGGGACTCAAATTTGGTGCAGTCTACTCAACTCCTTTCTGTGTCCTGGACCACTCTGGCAGTCAGTCTGTTGAAATCAATGGACACTCCCTCAGAATCATAGTTTTAAATACATAAAACAGTATTATAAGGGAAATTGATTTTAACAAAATGCAGTTATTGAAATTTAAAGAAAAGAAAACCGGGTTGCCAAGAACCAGATCTGTTTCAGAGAAAGTGTACTTGTGAAATTGGTTTTTGTATCTTAATGTGAGACTTGACATTTATTCCTTTTGAATTTCACCTTATTGCGTTCAGCCCAACCACAGCCCATTGAAATGTTTTTGGTTGACTCCATCACCCACTTATATTTCCCGACTTAGTGTTGACTGCAAATCTGATAAGCACTCTGCTTGTGCCTTTATTTGAGCCATTACTAAAACGTTAGAGAGCCCAGGGCCAAGCACAGATCTGGGAGTAACCCACTACAGACCTCCTACCTGGGATATTCAAAGGTTAAGTTCCTTGCCAATAGTCACACAGCTGCCATAGGTCAGGGGTTAGATGTGAACCCCTGTTTTTATGATGCTGATGCTGATGCTGGGTCTGTATGCACTAGCCCATGCTGTCTCCCACGTGAAGTTGATATCCTCAACACACCCCTTTGGGTAACTACTACATAAGCAGAAATTAAATCTTGGAAAACATTCAGTGACTGGTTCCAGTCAGGGGTCAAATGTAGGATCTGAACCCAAATCTTACTAGATTTCAGGTCATAAGCCCTTATCATATCCCATTCCTCACCTCAATTTTTTTTTTCATTTTGAAGTCTAAATATCCCTGGCTACTGAAAATTGTAATCATATACTACCAATGTGAGGTCCTTCACTTTCCGAGGTTCTTATAGTAGAAGAACAGCACTCTTGGGCCCTGCAAAGCTGTAATGGCTTCATACAGGGGTGTGGTGACCAACACTTGGGATGTCTGTGACCTGAAGACAAGCCTTGCTAAATTCAGAGAAGCTCATGACCATGTTGGCAGCAACATTGACTGATTTTTCCTCTAGTCTCTCTCAAAGACCATATACTGAGTTTTGAAAGGGCTTTGATGGGTGTCAGTGTGGAAAAGACACAATCAATAAATCAATTAATTAACAATCATTTCATAAGTACCTTCTTTGTGCCAGGTACTATAGGAGGTGCTAGAGATTAAGAAAACAAAAAAAATAAAACTACCCCTGCCTTCTGGGAGCTTACATTCTGCCCACTCCAATGAACTTGCAATGGTACAAGTATTGACCTCTAGGTCTTTACCCCATATTAAACCTGAGTTGTTCTTTGTCATATATTTCCAGTCCAACATGCTGCCTTGAATGTAGCAGCGACTTCAGAGTCTGGAAAATACTTCCTCTTCCCCTGAATCTTTTGGAATTCCCAGTTTCCATCAAAGTTTAGCTTCATGGGGCCATCTCCTGCAGGAAGCCTTCCTGATCCTTCCCAGATGCTGATCTCCCCTGAAATCACTTAGAATTTCCTTTGTAGGTAGTCTGTATTTATTTATATATGAACACACCATTTCCTTCCAATGTCAATTCCTCAAGAGAAGAAACTGTTTGGTGTTTGTTACTGTCAGCTCATCTTCTAGCACTGCACTTGGATGATCTGTGTCTGTTGAGGTGAGCTGACCTGAAATCAGTGGAATTGGATCAGACTGAATGGAGTGGACTCCATTGGAATTGATATTTCACATTGCTGGAATTTTATCTGATAACAGTACAGACAAAAAATAGCCTGAAAGGCAATGGAGGTTTACAACTAATTCTTTTTCAGTTTGCCAAGAAATATGGAAATGTTTTCTGGATACATGTGGGCAGTTTAACTTATATGACAGCAACCGGATTGCCACTGATCAAGGAGGTCCTGCTCAACCAAGCCCAGGTGTTTATTGATCGTCCCCAAGTTCCTGTGCACTTCCATGGTTTTAAAACACTTGGTGAGTTCTTTGAAATAAACATATTTGGTAAATGTTTTTCATCTCCATCATTTTGTGAAAAATATCTTTGCCTCCTATTCTTCATCCTTCCTGAAGGGTTCCAACCTATTACAGAGTTCTTGTGGCTAAAAGAAATATGATAGAAAAAAATAGGACTTTGAAGTTTCCTTCCGTCACATCTGACAGTGAGGGGAGAAGAATAGGATTGAGGGGGAGAGCAATGAGGATGGTGAAGGGGTTCAAATCTATCCCATAGAAGGATCAGCTAAAGGAGCTTGGAGTATTTAATTGAATAACAAGGAGACTCAGTTGGGGGGTGAAGAGAGGCATGATGACTGTCTTCAAGTGTTTGAAGGCCTATTAGTAGAGAAGGCATTAACTTGTTCTCCTTGGCCTCAGAACCAGTAGCAAAGGGTGAATTTTGCAGAAGAAGACAATTTGGGTTGATGCTAAGAAAAAACTTCCTAACCATCAGAGCTGTCCAAAAATGAAATGGTTTTTCTTCAGAGACTATGGATTCCCCCTCATAGGAGGTCTTCAAGAAAAGCTGTTCAGTATATTTTGTTGGTGTTGTTTGCTTGGTAAAAGTTAGACTGGATGACTCTAAGATCCCTTCTAACTCTAAAGCTCTATGGGTTTGTGATTCTGCCTTTGATCCACATGATGGTGCAGGCACCAGCTGAGTCACCTGCATCTGGAGGAATTCAGTAAAATCAAAGTCCCAAGTCAAAGTCTCTTTTTTGTTTCAATTTGTTTTAGGTTTTTAAAATTTATTTTTGATTTATGGAATAAAGTAAGTGTTTCTATAACACAGCATAATAAAAAGATGATTGCACATGAAACTGCAAATCTACTATGCACAACTTAATATTCCCTTCAAATATCCAAATTATCATGTATTTATTTCTTTTTTTCTTCTCTCCCCTCCCTAGAGATGGCTCCCATTAGACACAAATAGTTGTGTGTGTGTGTCTGTACATATGTAAAATTATTCTATACATACTTCTATTTATCATTTTTTTCTCTGGGTGCATATAGCATCTTTCTTCAATTGTCCTTTATAGTTAATTTAGGTATTTATAATAGACAAAATAATATTCATTCAAAGTTATTCTTACAACAATATTGCTGTTACTGTATACGATGTTCTCTTGGTTCTGCTTATATCACTTTTCTTTTTTTTTTTTTAATTTTTAGACAATTGGGATTAAGTGACTTGCCCAGGGTCACACAGCTAGTGTGCCAAGTGTTTGGTCTGTGGCCAGATTTGAAGTCAGGTCTAGCACAGTTGTATTTAATCATGATGATATACCACAACTTGTTGAGCCAATTAATGGGCTTCCCTGCAATTTCCAGTTCTTTGCCGCCTCAAAGGAGCGATTTTTTTTAAGAACATTTAGTACATTTTAGAACATATAAGTTCTTTTCCATTTTCCCTAATTACCTTTGGAAATAAACCTAGTAGTGGTATTGTTGGGTCAAAAAGTATAGGTAGGTTAGTAACTCTTTGGGTTACTTTCCAGATTGCCCACAAAAACAATCGGATCACTTCACAATTCCACCAGTAAGGTATTAGTGTGTCAATTTTTGCACATCCCCTCTAACACCTGTCACCCTCCCTTTGAGTCATTTTAGCTAATCTGGTAGGTGTAACATGATATCTCAAGGTTCTTTTAATTTGCATTTCTCTAATCAATAATGATGTAGAGCATTTTTTCATATGACTATAAATTGTTTTGATTTCTTCATTGGAAAACTGCCTTTTCACATCCTTTGGCCATTTGTCAGTTGGGGGATGACTTGGGTTCTTTTAGATTTGATAAAATTCTTTCTAAATTTTAGCTATGAGACCTTTATCTGATAAACTGTCTATAAAAATTTTCCCCCAGTTTTCTGCTTTCCTTCTGATCTTGGCTACATTTGTTTTACTTGTATTAAACTTTTTAACTTAATTTTGTTAATTTAACTTAATTTTGGTAATTAACAAAATCACCCATTTCCCCCTAACTTTATTCTCTCTTTTGTTTATTTATGAATTATTCACTTATCTATAAGTTTGATAAGTAATAGTTTCCATGTTCCTCTGATTTTCTTGTAAAATCTCTATATCAAGGTCATGTATCCATTTTTACCTTATCTTGGTAAATGGTATAAGATATTGGTCTATGCCCAGTTTCCTCCATACTGCTTTTCAGTTTTCCCAACAATATTTTCTTTACCAAATTAAGAATTTATATCAACAAATCTTGAGTGTTAAATACAGCTATTACATTTATGTGCTGCTGTAAATTGCATGTCTACTCTATTCCATTCATCTACCTTTCTATTGCTTAGCCAATAACTGATAGTTTTAATAGTTACTGCCTTCCAATACAGTTTAAGATCTAGTATTGCTAAACCTCCCCCCTTTACACTTTTTTCCATGATTCTGTAGATATTCTTGACTTTTGGCTTTTCTAAATGAATTTTGTTATTTTTTTCTAATTCTGTTTTTCTAGTACCAAAAAATATTTTTTTTTGTAATTTAATTGGGGTGGTGTTGAGTTCATAAATTATTTTGGGTAAAACTTTCATTAGTATTATATTGGCCCTGCCTACCCTTGAAAAATTAATATATCCTCAATTATTTAAATCTGATTTTATTTGTATAAAATATTTTTAAAATATTTTTTACATAGTTCATATTTGGGTTTTTTGGGGGGAGGGGCAGGGGGTTCCCAAGTATTTTATATTATCTAGAGTTATTTTAAACAGAGTATTTTTGAACTATCTCTTCTTGTAGAATTTTGTTTGTGGTATGTAGGAATACTGATGATTTATGTGGATTTACTTTATATCTTGCTACTTTGCAAAAATGATTAATTGCTTCACCTAATTTTTAGTTGACTCTTTGGAATTTTCCAAATATATCATATCATCTGCAAAAAGAGATGGTTTTATTATCTCATTGTCCATTCTGATTCCTTTAATTTCTTTTTCTTCTTTTGTGGCTATTGCTAGGATTTCCAATACAATGCTAAATAATATTGGTGACAGTGGGCTTCCTTCTTTCACACTTGATCTTACTGCAAAGGTTGCTAGTTTATCCCCATTACAAATAATCTTGCTGATGATTTTAGATAAATGCTTTTTTTATCAGTTTAATGAAAAATCCATTTATACCAAGATGTTCAAGTGTTTTTGATAGAAATGAGTGTTGTAATTTATCAAAAGCATTTTCTGCATGTATTGATATACTCACATGATTTAAAAAAATATTATTGATGTAATCAATGTTAATAATTTTCCTAATGTTAAACCACTCCTCTAATCCTGGTACAAACCCCTCTTGATCATCTTTGTAATATATTATTGCAATCTTTTAGTTGGTATTTTATTTAGGATTTTTGCATACATATTCATTAATAAAATTAGTCTATAATTTTCTTTTTCTGTTTTTACTCTTCTTTGTTTAGGTATCAGTATCATATTTTCATAAAAGGAGTTTGGTAGAATGTCTCCTTTACCTATGATTCCAAATAATTTATTTAATATAAGAATTAGTTGATCTTTAAATGTTTGATAGAATTCACTTATAAATTCGTATGATCCTGGTGTGTTTCCCTTAGGAAGCCCATTGATGGCCTGTTCAATTTCTTTTTCTAAAATAGGTCTGTTTTGATATTCTATTTCTTGTTCTGCTAATCTAGAGAAGGCTGGAATTAATTGAACTGGAAGAGTACGAAAAAAAAACCCTAGACACATGTAAACTCACACACACAAACACACACACACACACACACACACACACACACACACACACACACTCACACACACAGCTTGCAATGTAACAGTTCCTTGAACATGTACAGTAGAAGTGGTAATGTCAGAAACAGTCCACAGTGAGAGATAATGAACATAACAGCACCTACCTTCCAGGGTAGTTGTCAGGCTGAAATGAGATAATATTTGTAAAATGCTTATCATACTGCCTAGCACATAGTTGGTGCTTAATAAATGCTTATTCACTTCCCTCCTCTTTTCCTTACTCAGTAAGAGGCCTCTGTGGAAGGACCACCCTCTTTTTTTTTTTTCCTCTCAGGTCTAGGTAGTTATACAGAAACAGTTTGACCTCTCCCCTGTTATAGAAAAAAGCAACATTTCTCTAAACAATTCCATCCTTTGGTATCTTCCACAAACCTTTTGTCTAGGTTCCCAGGTTGTTCATAGCAAGGATACTTCCTGAGAAAGGAGTATCCCAAGGTCCCTCTTCTAACACCTCACCCACACCCTGCATTCTTGGGCAAAGAGAAATGAGGTTGACTGTTAAGAAGTTAAGGAGATGAAGAGAATTTTACACAAGTAAGATGTGGTTGACCTTTGGAGAAAACTGAATGAGGATAGAAAGGAATATACCTTTTTTTCAGCAGTACATGACACCTAATTGACCATGTAAGAGGGCACAAAAACCTCGAAGTCCAATGCAGAAAGGTCAGAAATATTAAACGCATCCTTTTTCAGACCATGATGCCATAAAAATTATATGTAATAAAGGGCCATGGAAAGGGAGGCTAAAACTAATTGGAAACTAAATAATCTGATCCTAAAGAATGAGTAGGTCAAAAAAAACCACCCACTGTGTGCCAAACGCTGTGCTGGGAATACAAATAGTAAGGAGTAGACAGTTCCTGCTCCCAAGGAACTCACACACTGACTGGGGAAATCACACAAAGTTTGGCTGTAGGGCACATGGAAACCCTTCTCATCAATGTGCCAAAAGAAGACAAGCTTATACTTCTAGGCATCTTTAATAATAGAGTAGGTATAGATTCCCAGACAGGGAGGGAGTCCTTGAGAGTATGGAGTTGGAAAGAGCAACAGCTATGGTCATTCACTACTGAAGACTTGTGCATCTCATGACCTTCCCATCACCAACACTGTCTTCTATTTACCTAAATACGATAAAACGTCATGGATGCACCCTCGCAGAAAACACCGGCATTTAACAGACTATGTGATTATAGGTAGAAGAGAGGATGTGAGAGTGATGAAAGCAATGTGTGGTGCAGAGTGCTGGACTGATCATAGACTTCATAGACCTCTCCAAGCTAAATATTCACATTCAATGAAAGTGGCAGCCTCATGGCAAATTGACTACCAGAATTAATGTCAACATATTAGAGCCCTTCTCCACGTGTGAACAGTTTGGTGCTACCATGGAGGGAAAGTTGAGCCAAGACACAGGTGGCAACAGTGGAACAGAAAAGGAATGGATAGCTGTCAGAGATCTGGTGTAAAGGACTACATTTGCTCATCTGGGTCAGAACACTGACAAACATTAAGAATGGTTAGATGAAAATGATGAGGAAATTCAGGAGCTGCTAAATAAAAAAAGAGAACTCCACAGGGTTTACCAGCAGGGTAGTTTATCCATCTCTAAGAAGGTAACATTCAACTCCTTCAAAAGTAAAGTACAAGCAAAGCTTAGGCAGATGCCAGATTCTTGTCCCAGTAAAAAGGCAGATAAAATTTGATTTTATGCTTATAGTAACAATCCAAAGTGCTTTTATGTTGCCCTGAAGGCTATTTATGGGCCAAAGACCTATGGCACATCTCAGCTACTCAGTGCTGATGGAGCCACATTGATTAGTGATAAGGATATCATTCTAGAGAGATGGACTGAACACTTTCACAGTGGTCTCAACAGACCATCATCAATCGATGCTGAAGCCACTGACTTTACCTCAGGTGGAAGTCAATCCCTTCCTAGCTGAAATTCCAACTGAAGAGAAGGTTTGAATGCCATTAGGCCCTTTTCGTGTGGCAAAGAACCTGGTGCCAGTTCTATTCCAGCTGAAATTTACAAGGTCGGGGGGTACTTTGTTCATAGAAAAGCTGACTGAAATGTTCTGGGTCATATGGCAAGAGGAGGTTATCCCCCAAGAGTTCAAGGACACTTCCATTGTCCATCTCTACAAAGGTAAATGAAATAGATTGTACTGTGACAATTCCAGGGGGTCTCTCTCTCTTAATCAAGAATCTTGCCAGAGTCCTTGATAGACTGATGCTTCACTTGGAAGATGGTCATCTATCTGAAGGGCCAAGGAACAGTTCATATGGTGTTTGTTTCCAAACAACTCTAAGAGAAATTCCAGGAATGGAACAGATGTCTGCATACAATGTTTGTAGATCTGACCAAGGCTTTTGATGCTGTCAGTCATGAGGGCTTATTAAAAATCATGTCAAAATTTGGTTGCCTGAGAAGTTCATGAGTATTGCACATCAGTTTCACAATGGCCTGTTTGCCCAGATTCTGTATAATGGATAATGCTCTCATGCTTTCCCAGTCATCGATGGAATGAAACAAGGCTGTGTGTTTGTTCCCATGCCTTTTAGCCATGTTGTCAAACTCATTCAATTAGGACAAACACAGCATTAGGGTCAGCTACCACACTGCTGTAAGTTACTCAACTTGACAAGGCTACAAGCCAAGACTGAAGTGAAGAAACTATTGATGCATGCTTTTATGTTTACAGATGGTTGTGCACTCAATGCAGCTTCTGAAGCTAAGATAAAACAAAGTATGGATCAATTCTCTGCTGCTTATGTTAATTTTGGCCTAACAATTAGCACCAGGAAAGCACAGGTGCTCTATCAGCTAGCAGAATGCCATCTATATCTGGAACCATTGGTTACAGCAAAAGGAGAAGTTTTGAATACTGTAGATAAGGTCACTTGCCTTGCCAGTATACTTTTCAGAGATGTAGACATTGATAATGAGGTTGACACATTGCCAGAGCTAGTTCAGAGTTTGGGAGGTTCTGAAGCAACGTGTGGGAGAGAAGAGGTATTAGAATGACTGCCAAACTAAAGTTCTACAGAGCTGACCTCACTGTTATATGCCTGTGAAACCTACACAGTATACCAGTGCCATGCCAGGAAACTGAATGGCTTCCATTTGAATTGTCTTAGGAAGATTCTGAAGAATACCTGACTGGATAAGATACCAGATACTGAGGTCCTTTCTTGAACTGAACTGCCAAGCATTCAAACTGTACTGCAGAGAGCACAACTCTGATGGGCTGGCCATGTTGTTCAAATGCCAAACATGTGCTTGCCAAAAAGAATATTTTATGGAGAAATCACACAGGACAAGCACTAACATGGTGGTCAGAAAAAGTGATACAAGGACACTCTCAAGGTCTCTCTAAAGAACTTTGGGAACACGGGAGACACAGGTACAGGACTGCTCAGCATGGTGTGCCCTTATTTCAGAAGGTGCTATGCTCTATGAGCAAAGCAGAACTGAAGAAGTTCAAAAGAAACATGAGATGAGCAAATTTAGAGAATCTACCTGAGATGTTCACATGGACTATTTGTGCCTCACCTGTGATAGAGAATTCTGAGCTCATATTGGTCTGATCACCCACAGTTTGACACCCTATAACTTGACTCTAACATAGTGATGTCATTTTGGTCCTCTTCTAGAACAAAGGACTGAAGCCAACCGACTTTTAACCACTCTGCATATGTCTTGCATATGCTCAATTATTTCCATGATGTTTCTCCCATTACAAGTGAGCTACTTGAGGACAGGGACTGGTATTTTTCCCCTTCTTTTGTATACCCAGAACTTAGCACAGTGCCTGGCAAATACTAAGCGCTTAATAAAAGTTTGTTGATTGACTGATTTATTTAAATCCTCACAATGACCCTTTGAGATAATTTCTATTATTATCTCAATTTTACAGATAAGGAAACTGAGGCTGAGAAAAGTCAGTGACTTGTCGTATAATTAATAATTGTCTGAGGCTGAATTCAATCTCAGCTCTTGCTGAGTTTAACTCCATCATGCCATCCACCATGCCTCCTACTTGGTTAGTGAGTGAGCCTCACCAAAGAAGTCACTGGCTCAGGATTTCACTTAACTCCTCAGGAGTCTGGCTATGAAAGAAATTGAGGGGAAAGGGGGAATAACATTAGGTCTCATTTCCTTGAGAGGAAAAAGAAGGGAATTTTATGGGGCTAACAGGGAAATATGGGCTCAAATACTAGTCATTTCCCTAGAAACAATCACTCCCCTCCTTCTTTGCAGTTTGCGAGGCTGCCTACATTGGTGACATCTTGAAATAGTTATTTAGGTGTCTCAGGATATGGCCAAGGGCCTGCTATATGAGATAAGAGATGATTGGACTCCAGCCTGCTTGTTAGGAGAGCAATGGTATAGAAAGTTAAACAATGATTATAGGGAAGGTGGATTTCAGGAGTGATTAGGTATGGGATTAGTATTAATTCCATGAAAATAGTCAAGAACCCTGGCCTGACTTAAGATGAGGAAGATGAAGAGATAGGGCAGCCTAATAGGAACTGAGGCTCATCCTTCTATCCCCCTTTATATTATTTAGCTCTACAAAATGTTTCCTTGGATAATGAAATTCCTGCCAGGAAATCACCAGAAGTTCTTTAGAGAATGGAAGAAGCTAGAAACTTTTGTAGAATGTGTGATCAAACAACACAAGGAAGACCTGAACCCAGAGGAGACCCTGGACTTCATTGATGCTTACCTGAAGGAGCTGTCCAAGGTAATGGAGACAACACAGAAAGTGGGCATTGTTTGTTTAAAACCAAAAAGAAAGGTGCAAACTTGTGGGGATAAGTGTGTTAAAATGTTCCAAACTTTACATCTGCCTCAAAATGTAAATATTTTTCCTCAATGTCAACCCAGGGAGGCAAAGACTATGAATAAAGGAGCTTGCTAGTGGAGAGTTCACAATTTTTATTTAGAAATGAAAGGGACCATAGGGCTCATTGAGTTCAACCCCCCGATTTTATAATGGGGTAAACTGAGTCATAGAGAAGTTAATTGACTTGCTCCAGTGACACAGCTATTTAGAAATCTGAGGCTGGATTTAAACCCAGCTGTTTCTGTCTCCAAGTCCAATGTCATTTTCATTAGAACCTACTCTGATTAGGATTAATTCTTGGCCCTGATATTTTATCCCTATGAATTCATCTCTTTGCACCTCCCTTTTCTCATCTGTAACATTAAGATATTCTATATATACCCTCTAACCTATCCAGAATTATTGTGTGTATATTATTTGTAAACCTCATAACACATTCAATTGGGTATGGAAATCTGTCTTACCCTACAGGAAAATAGGGGGAGACGGGGACAAGAGAGCAGGGTGATGATAGAGAGGAGGGCAGATTGGGAAAGGGTATAATCAGAAGTAAATACCTCTGAGGAGGGACAGGGTCAAAAGGAAGAATCAAATAAATGGGAGGGCAGCATAGGATTAAGGGAAATAGAGTTAGTTTTTCAAAACATGTATACTATGGAAGTGTTTTGCATAACTGCACATGTATAACCTATATTGAATTGCTTGCCTTTTCAATGAGGGTGAGTGGGGAGGGAGGAAGGGAGAAAATTTAGAACCCAAAGTTTTAAAAACATGTTTAAAAAAAAAGATTTCACATGCAACTGGGAAACAAGATATATAGGAAATGGGGTACAGAAGTCTATCCTGCCCTATAGGAAAATAGAAGGGGAAGGAGATACAAGAAGGAGGGGAGAGATAGAAGAGAGGGCAGACTAGGGGAAGGGATATTCAGAATGCATGCCATCTTGGGGCGGGGGAGGGGCGAGATGGGTTGAAAATTTGGAACTCAAAAACTTGTGGAAGTGAATGTTGAAAACTAAAAATAAAGAATTTATATTAAAAAACATAATTCCACTGGGGGAGAAAAAAGTTAGGGCTGAATTGTGTAAGATGAGGCAATTCTGAAAACAAAAAGAGTAGTAGGAGAAACTATCTCATAAAAATGGGACACAAAAGGAAGAATTGATACAGAGGAGGCAGGTGAGAATGGAGGGCTGGTAATATTGGAAACTTACTCTCATTTGGATTGAAGAGGAAACAACATATACATCTTATGAACCTCTAGAGAGGTGAGAAAACTGGAGATTAGAGTGAGGGAGAGACTTTTAGAAGGGGTTATAGGCTAAAATTAGGAGGATTGGGTGAATAGATTAAGGAAGGACTTTTAGAGGGGTAGCTAAAATAATAAATAAGAGGGTAAGGGGAGAAGATAAGGTAACAGGGAAAAGACGAAAAAAGAGGCTGAGAAGGAAAATAATGAGTAAAAATAAGATGGGGGGAAATTCACAAATAGTAATTGTAAATTTGAATGGGAATTAGAAAAAAATGACAATATTAATTTGGAAAAAACAAAGGGTCAAGAATATCCAAGGAAATAATGAAAAAGGCTGTACAGGAAGGATGTTTAGCAGTGACAGGTATCAAAAATACACCATAAAGCATTGATCATCAAAACTCTCTGTAGTGGCCAAGAAATCGAGTGGTGAATCCCTGGGATTGATCAGGAACACAAGACCCTGTAGTAAACGACCATAGCAACATAGAGGCTGATAAGTCCAAAGACACCAGCTTTTGGGAGAAGAACTCGCTATTTGACAAAAACTGATGGGAAATAGTTTGGTAGAAACTGGATATAGAGCAGGGGTGGGGAACCTGCGGCCTGAGTCCACATGGGGCCTTCAAGGTCCTTAGGTGTGGCCTTTTGACTGAGTCCAACTTTTATGGAACAAATGCTATTATTAAAGGGATTTGTTCTGTAAAGTTTAGATTCGGTCAAAGGGCCACACTCGAAGATCTAGACAGTCACATATGGCCTGAAGGCCACAGGTTCCTCATCCCTGAAACATTTTATACTGTATATCAAGATATGATCAAGATGGGTGCATGATTTATACAAAAAGGTGGAAACCATAAGCAAATTAAGAGAGAAAGGAGTAATTTACCTGTCAGATCTACAGAGGAGGGAAAAATTTATGACCAAACAAGAGATAGAAAGCATTATGAGACATAAAATGAATGATTTTGATTATATTAAATTAAAAAGGTTTTGTATAAACAAAACCGATGCAACAAAAATTAGAAGGAAAGCAGAAATCTGCGAAATGATTTTTGCAGCCAGTGTCTCTGATAAAGGCCTTATTGCTTAATACATAGAGAACTGAGAAAAATTGATAAGAACACACATCATTTTCCAACTGATGAATTAGCAAAAGATATGAACAAGAAGTCTGCCAATGAAGACAACAAATCTGTCTTTAGTCATATGAAAAAATGTTCTACCTCACTATTGATTAGAAAAATGCAAATTAAAACAACTCTGAGGTACCAAATCACACCTATCAGATTTGCTAATATGAAAGAAAATACAAATCGTGAATTCTACAGAGGAGGAAAATTGGGGCACTAACACACTTTTTTGTTTATTTTTACCAGAGAGTTGGTGTTAAGTGACTTGCTCAGGGTCATACACCTAGTAAGTGTCAAGTGTCTGAGGCTAGATTTGAACTTAGGTCTTCCTGACTTGAGGTTTGGTGCCCTACCCACTATACCACCTAGCTGTCCACTAATGCTTTGGTGATGGAGTTGTGAACTGATCCAGCCGTTCTGGAAAGCAATTTGAAACTATGCTCAAATGCAATAAATCTGCGCATATCCATCGATCTAGTAGGTCTGTATACCAAAAAGATCATAAAAAGTAGAAAAGGACTCACACATACAAAAATATTTACAGCAGCTCTTTTTGTGATGGCAAAGAATTGGAAAATGAGGGGATGCCCTTCAATTGGAAAATGGCTAAACAAATTGCAGTATATAAATGTAACGGAATATTGTTGCACTCTCAGAAATTATGAGAGGTGGATTTCAGAAAGGTCTATAAAGACTTACATGAACTGATGCAAAGTGAAATGAGCAGAACCAAGGGAACATTGTACACAGTATCAGCAATGCTGTGAGATCAACTATGATTGACTTAGCTCTTTTCAACAGCACAATGATCCAAGACAAGTCCAAAAGACTCATGATGGAAAATGCTATTCACACCCAGAGAAAGAACTAATACAATGTGAGTGCAGATGGAAACAGACTATTTTCACTTTCTTTATTTTTTATTTCTTGGTTTTCTTCCTTTTGTGTTGTTTCTTCTTTCACAACATGACTATTGCGAAAATGTTTTACATGAATGCACCTATATAACCTGTACCAAGTTGTTTACCACCTTAGGGAGGGGGGTAGGGTGGGAGAGAAGGAGAAAATTTGGAATTCAAAATCTTGTATCAGAAAGAATGTTAAAAATTCTCATTATATGTAATCAGGAAAAATAATATTTTAAAGAAAAAAATCAGAGTTTTCATTCTTAGGAACAGCTACTGTATTCTTGGATATTGAAGGGAAGCCACCTTAACCTTCCCAAAGCCCCATTGAGGGTTCAACTCCTCATGCTTGCTTATATTTTAGATTAACTTATTATTGCCTTTTTTATTTAAGGATAACATCCATTCTTGTTTTAATGAAAAAAAATTAGTCTTCTGCACTCTGGACCTCTTCTTTGCTGGAACAGAGACAACTTCTACCACACTGAGGTGGGCACTGCTGTATATGCCCCTTTATCCAGAGATCCAAGGTACAGTGATGGCCCCAAGGTATGCATCCCTTTAGAATTCCACCCAGAAGAGTTCCCATTTATAAAGAGCTTGAAAGTTTGCCAGTTTACACATGTCATCTTCTTTCAATTGTCTTTGGAATAGAGCAGTGATTATAGTTTTTCATAATCAAGTAGACTCATTTTTGACATCAAAATTTCTTTGGTAATTGGTGGCTAAGGCAGCAGAATGAGTCTAGAATTTGTAATCAGGAATATGTGAGTTCAAATCTTGTCTCAGGCATTTACTGACTATGTGACCTAGCCTCCTCATCTGTAAAATGGGGGTAATAATAGCCCTCGTCTCATAGGGGTGCAATGAAGATCAAACAAGCTGACAAACATAAAGTGTTCTGTAAGCCTAAGAATGTGTTCTAAATATCAGATGTTATTTTAGTATTGTTGATTACAATTTTCACGTGCTATATTTTTTATTGAAAAGGTATGTGTTAACAAAAAGTAACATTTTAAAATGTATTTGTAACCTATTAAATATGGTAAAACTCCATAGATTTCAAAATCGATATGCTTAAATGAAGGACACATTATGAATTCAATCTACAGAAGGTCATAAGGTCTTTAGATTTTGAGTTGGAAAGTATCTTAAAGGCAATAAAGTCCATGCCATCTTTTGATAAAAAAAAATGATACAAAATGACCTTCAGCCCTCTGCAGTCAGCTCCTGCTTCTACAATGACCGTGTCGTTATCATTATTAATATACATTAACTTACCTATAAGTTGCTCTAATGTATATTTATGCTACAAATTATTGCCATTCATTATATATTATATTTATATATTAACATATTTTATAGTTATAAGCATAGTTATGAACTACTCTAAATGGATGATCTGCCCATTGCCACCAAATATACCACTTCATGAATTCCTGAATCCTGAAATTCCCTTATCTGATCTCAATCTATTGATATTCCACCTATTCCTCTGCCTTCCTTGACTGCCAATCTCTTGACTCCTCAGTTCCTTGCCAGGCCATCACCCTTGCATTAGCCGCACACTCCTCATTTTTCCATCTTGACGCCTTCATGAACCAATTCAATCTATACTTCCCTCACTATGGCATCATCCCGCTTGTCCTGTCAAACATCAGGCTTGGTTCACTTGAACTATCATTGGCCTTCGCTCTCATTCATGTGTGTTTAATGAATGTAAGGAAAACCACTAAAGCAGATTGACTGTTACTAATTTATCTTACATAATCTCATAATTATTGCTGCAAAGCAATCCTTTTACATTTCCCTAATTAATTAATTTTCTAATTCACTGCAGCTCTCTTCCAGACCTTCTCATCCCTTCTCACAGGAGCATGGCTTACTCTCCCCCAACACTTTCAGCTGAGAAACTGGCCTCATATTTTAGTACAAATCATTATATACATATGTGTGATATTTTATTTTATTTTTCTCTAACTACATATTGAAACAATTTTCAACATTTTCAAATATTTGAGTTTCAAATTCTGTTCCTCCTTCCCTCCCTCCCTTTCTTCCTTCCTGAGATGGTAAGCAACAGATACGTGTTATACATTTGGACTCATGTAAAGCATTTTCATGTCAGTCATTTTGTATGAGAAGACTTGAATAAAAAAATGAAAGAAATGAAGAAAGTGAACAATAGCATGTTTCAGTCTGTATTCAGCCAATATCAGTTCTTTCTTTGGAGGCAGATATCATACTTCATCATGTATTAGTCCTTTGGAATTGTCTTGGATTATTGTATTTCCGAGAATAGCTAAGTCATTCATAGTTCTTCACTGTACAGCGTTGCTGTTGTTGCCTACAACATTCTCCTGATTCTGCTCACTTCACTGTGCATCGGTTCATTTTACTGCAAATCTTGAGGCCGTTCACCATGAACTCTCTCTTCTCCTTTCCTCCTCATCTCACATCACTCAGATGCCTTCTGTCACTCCTGTCTCCATCACCCCTATCTTACATGAAGAGGAGACTCTTCTCCTTGTCAAGGCCAGCTCTTCTAAATGCAAAAGTGATCCCATTGTTTTTTCTTTAGCAGATTGTTCTCTCTATTTTTCCCACTTTCTCCTTTATCTCCAATCACTCCCTGTCAACTAGTTGGTTCCTTACTACCTCCAAACATGCCCCTGTCACCCCCATCCTGAAAAAACAAAACCTCACTTGCTTGATCCCCACTAACTATTATTCCAAATTAGTTTTCCTTTTTGTGGCTAAACTCCTTGAGAAGGCCATCCATAAGAGATGTGTCCCCTTCCTTTCATCTCACTCTTCTTAATTCTCTAGTCATTCAACTGAAACCACTCTTTTCAAAGTAACTAATGATCTCTTAATTGCCACATCGAATGATCTAAATGGAATGATTTTTCTCAGTCTTCATCCACTTTGACCCCTCTTTCACACTGCCAATCACCTTTTTCTCCTTGGTACTCTCTTCCCTCTAGATTTTCATGACACTTTTTCTGAGTCTTCCTCCTATCAATCTGACCACTCCTCTGTCTCCTTTGCTAGATCTTAGTCCAGAACATGTCTGCATCCAGGTCACACATATAGGGTTCTGTCCTAGGCCTTCTTCTCCTCTCCCTCTATACCAGCAGTGGGGAACCTATAGCCTCAAGGCCACATGTGGCTCTCTAGGTCCTCAAGTGTTGCCCTTTGATTGAATCCAAACTTTACAGAACAAATCCCCTTAATAAAAGTATTTGTTCTGTAAGACTTGGCCTCAGTCAAAAAACCACACCCAAGGACCTAGAGGGCCACATGTGTCCTACAGGCTGCAGGTTCCCCACCTCTGCTCTATACTATTTCACTTGGTGATTTCATCCACTTCTATGTATTCAATTATCATCTCTATGCTAATAATTCTCAAGTCTATTTATCCAACCCAAAGCTCTCTGCTGACCTCCAATCTCTCATCTCCAACTACCCATCGGACATTTCAAAATGCATATCCTAGATACATGTTACACTCAATATGTACAAAGCAGAGGTAATTCCCTTTTCCCTAAACCCTCCTCCCCTCCTACCTTTCCCATTACTATAGAAGACAAGAGCATCCTCTCAGTCCCTCAGTGCAGAAACCTAGGAGTCATCCTCAACTCCTCATTATCTCACTCCTCCCTATTTAATCTGTTGCCAAGGCCTGCTTATTTCTCCTTTATAACATCCCTTGAATATTTCCTCTCCTCTGATGCTATCCCCACCCTGACACAGGCCGTCATCCCCTCACACCCGGACTATTGCAACAGCCTGTGGTGGGTCTGCCTGCCACAAGTCTTTCTGCACTACAATCCATTCTCATTCAAACATCATTGAGTGATTTCTCCCACTCAGTAAACTCCAATGTCACACCATCACCTTCAGAATCAAATACAAAATGCTCTGTTTGGCATTCAAAATCCTTTATAGGATGCCCCCTCTTATATTCCCAGTATTTTTATGCTTTACTTCCCGAAATGTATTCTCTGATTCAGTGCCACTGGGCTCTCAGCTGTCCCACTAACAAGACCCTCCATCCCTCCACTATGGGCATTTTCTCTGGCTGTCCTCTTATTCTTGGAATACTTTCTCTCCTTATTTTTGCCTCCTGGCTTTCCTGGCATTCTTCAATTCCCAGATGAAAGCCCACTTTCAGTGAAAAGCCTTTCCCAATCCCCATTAATCTTAGTACCTTCCCTCTGTGATTATCTCCAATTTATCCTGCATGTGTCCTCTTTGCATGTGGTCGCCATCATTAGATTGTGATCACCTTGAGCACAGGGACTGTCTTTTCCCATTCCCTGTCTTCCCAGCCTTTAAATATAGTTCCTGGCACACAGTAGGTGCTTAATAAATGCTTGTTGACTTGACTTGAAATACTTTGTTTCTGTCATCATGGCTCATCACAGATACTTTGTCAAGGATAAGCTCAAATAGGGAGCCAAATTATCTTTCTTTTAAAATTACCAGCCCTTTTTTGTCCACAACTGCCTTCTACCTCTGACTTGGAGTCAGGGATCATTAGACACCAAACATAAAGCCATAAAAAGAAATATGATATACATAAATAAATTTAAGGCTCTTAGAGACAGTCTGGTCCAGTGGCGGTGAACCTTAGCCTTGAGGACACATGTGGCCTTCTAGGTCCTTGGGTGTGGCTTTTTGACTGAGTCCAAGTTTTACAGAAAAAATATTTTTATTAAGAGGATTTATTCTACGAAGTTTGGATTCAGTCAATGGACCTAGAAGGCTGCATGTGGCCTTAAGGCCTCAGTTTCCTCACCCTTTGTCTAGTCTGACCTACCTGTTTTAGAGGAAATGAGGCCCCACGGGGATGAATGACTTGCCCATGGATACTCAAATAAGAAGGGGTAAAGCTGAAATTTGAATTCAGGTCTTCTGTCTCTAACTCCAGCATGCTTTCCACAGTACCACATTCCTGGATGTCTTCTCAACAATATAAATATCCTTATTTGACATCAATCAGTGTAGTCTCCACTATGCTAGGCTATTGCGATTGGAACCTTTGGAGAAGTGTCAAGCCAAACTTTCATCCAACCACAGGTGTGGCTGTGGTTTTCCCACATGATCAGAGAAAACTGGATGGGAGGGGAAAGAAAGCCCTGAGTTCACATCTACTTAGATGTGTGTCTTTGAGCAAGTCACTTAAATTCTGTTTGTATCATTTTAATGTATAAAATTGGGAAATGATTGTGCTGTCCTCCTGGCATTGTTGCAAGGATCAAATGAGATAATATTTGTAAAGTATTTTGTAAACTTTAAAGCACTGTATATATGTGACTATTATTTGGCCCTCAAAAACTCTACGTTTTCTTTTTAGGTAAAATACAAGCTGAGATTGACTGGGTGGTTGGCCAGTCGAGGCAGCCCACCATGGCTGATAAGGAGAATATGCCCTACACTAATGCAGCCATTCATGAAGTTCAGAGAATGGGTTATATTGTTCCTTTCAATGTGACCCGGGTGGCTACAGTTGATACAACAGTGGAAGAATACCATGTGCCAAAGGTAAATAGCTTTTTCTCCCATGAACCTGAAGGTGCTCTGTGTCTTCCATCTACCCCAGGGGTAGATAGTGAAACAAGAAAACATAACTCACAGAGCAAAGGTCTTTGGTCTAATGTGCATGAATTTGGTCTTTAAAAAGTACATATTTTGACAATGTATTTATATATAATTGGATTTTTTGTAACCCTATGTATGCTACTCTACGCTTTAAAAATAATTATTCTGAAAAGGAGAGTAAAAGCTTCATTCACCATGTGACTGCCAAAGGGCCTCATGATAAAAAAGGTGAAGAAACTTTGGACTAGAATTTTAAAATCATTGATTCTCACAGTTAGATGAGAAAACAAAAAATGCTGGATTTGGAGGCAGAGGGACTGGGTTTAAAGCTTAATTTTAATCCTGTGTTTGAATTAGTTATGTCTACTTAAATTCCTTATGTGTAACATCACTATGTATGATAGGTCCTTGGGAACTCAATTTCCTTATGCGAAAAAAGAGGGTTTGAGTAGATGATCATTAAACATCCTTCCAACTATTCTAGACTCTATAGTCATATGAGGATAATGAGTCTACTATGGAACTTCCCACATTTCTTCTGGCCAAAAAAAGAAATTATATTTACTCAAACAACCGTGATTTCCCAGTCACAGTGGGCAAAGAAACTCAGACACCGAGTACAGAATTCTGAAGGAGTTATTTGCATCCCCACCCTGCATTGCAGTCCTGGGACTTGGCCAGGGCAACTCCACCAATAAAATTTCCTGAGATCCAGGCTCTAACCTAGGGTGAACCTTTCAAAGAAGTCACTTTAGGCCCTGGAGCCTAAATGGAAATCAGGATTAATAAATCATTTAACAACTCCCAGTGTCATAGAGCTCCATCGCCTCTCAATCATGTCCCTCATATCAATAAACATTTATAAGGACCTGCTACATGCCAGGCACTATGCTAAGTGCTGCTGACCTTTAAACTTGGGTTTTCTGACCTAAGTGTCATTTCTTTTTCATCTACTGAGTTAATAACTGTGTGTAAGACTCTGTGAGGAATACAGAGCGCAATAGTGAGAAATAGGTACCCTTTGTGTTGCACATTAAGGTTTATAAAGCACTTTAGAAATACCTGTCTTGAATCCCACAACAACTCTGGGAGGGAGGTGCCATTATTACTCCCATTTTACAGATAAGAAAACTGAGGCAGGTAGAGGAGAAATGACTTGCCCAGGGTCACACAGCTAGTTAGTGTTATGTGTCTGAGGCTAGATTTGAACTCAGGTCCTTCTGACTTTAGGGCCAGTGCTCTATGCACTGTGCCACCTAGCTGCCCCTAAACCTATAATTTAAACAACCTGTATCAAAGATTTTGATTGGTCTCACTTATCTCCAGTCCCATTGATCTTTCAAGGTATCTGACATTTCTAATCATCATTTCTTACAGGACATCTGAAGTAATTTATTAATTTAGGGCACGTTGCTACCTGGGAAGCTTACTCATTTACAACCTAATTCGCAATTAGGCATTAGGTAGCATGTGGTCCTATATAGGGCAGAAGCGAACTGGAAGATGAATCATCCAGTGCTAGTGGACAGCAATCTTGCCCCAAACTGGCGGTTTAGATTTACGCGGTTTGGGTTCATCTGCCCCTTCTGACACTTGAGTCAGTCTACCTTTCCATGCCTTAGTGTATTTGTCTGTACAGTGAGAGGGATGGACCACATGACCTCTACAATCCTTTCCAGTCCTAAATTTATGACTCTCTAAGGCCAGGGTTCTTAACTTGGGGTCCATGAACTCGACTTTTTGTTTTGTTTTGTTTAGATCATGATGGTTGCATTACCATATGATTGTTTCCCTTTGTAATCCTATGTGTTTTATTTGATTCATTTAAAATGTGATTCCAAGATGGGGTCCAAAGGCTTTGCCAGCCTTCCAAAGGGACCTATGACCCCAAACATGTTAGAAGTCCCTGCTCTAAGATATCTTGAGTTCAACAGCAGGATTGGCCACTAAAAAGCTGTGTTTCCTTGGTTGGTTCTTTGTGCCCCTACCTCCTCTCCCCTGGGTACTCAATTCTCTCTTCTCTAAAATGAGGGTGTGGGCAAGGTTCCTTGCACTCAGTTCTTTTCTCTTGTTTCCAGGGAGCTGTGCTTATGACCAACTTGACTGCCTTGCACAGAGACCCCAAGGAGTGGGCTACCCCAGAAACTTTCAACCCGGAACATTTTCTAGAGAATGGTCAATTTAAGAAGAGAGAGTTCTTCCTGCCTTTCTCAATAGGTGAGCCAAACCCAATAGCAAGGGACCCCTAGGCCAGGTGGAACCAACCTTTTTAGCATTAAGAAACTTTGCAGACTCTACTTCCTGAAACCCACAATCATATGATGGTGCACATACTAATAACAGTCATTGACTGGGAAAATACATCACAACAAAATTTAAAATACCAGACCTTTACATAGCTTTTTAAAATCTACAGGACAAATAGCAACTGTTTGGAGTTTCACAACCATCCCATGAGCTAGGTACTACAGCTGTCCATTTTGCAGATGAAGAAACTGAACCTCAGGGAGGTTAAGTGATCTGCCCACAGTCACAATTTTGAAGCGTCTGAGACAAAATTACTCCTAGGTCACCGCGCTCCATCCACTATACCTCCTAGATGCCAAAGTGTGATGGACTCAGCAAATACCTCAAGTGCATTTGTGTTTTATTTACTGCAAGAGTACCTGTAACCATGCAAAAATAATACCTATAAGCTAGTCTGCAAGGGACATGGAAGATATCTGACCCTGGACAATCTACGGAAATAGGGAGGGTTGTTTGCATTCTTTAGAGAACAGCAATGTGGTTGAAGTGAGGAAAGTTTCATCCTCAGGTCTGGTTATGTCTGATGTTTTTATAGACCCCAGAATTCCCCCAGGCATAGCCACTGCCCATAAGCTCTGGTACTGTCCCCTCTGAGTATCCTTGGGAGACCTCACTTAAACTTCCTGGGCCTCAGTTTCCTCATCTATAAAATGAAGGGATTGGACTAGATGACTGATAAAGTTCCTTTAAGCTCGGAAGCCATGACCCCAAAATCCCAGGAATTCATAACGAGAGGATCTGAGTTTTGTTTTGTTTGTTTCTTCCTTAGGCAATTGGGGTTAAGTGACTTGACCAGGGTCACATGACTGCAAAGTGTCAAGTAAGTGGTCTGAGGCCAGATTTGAACTTAGGTCCTTCTGACTTCAGGGCTAGTGCTCTGTCCAATGTACCACCTAGCTGCCTGGATCTGAGTTTTCATTGTGCTTCTTCTTAGGTGTATTATCTGCCATGACTCATATATTCTCAGGGCCTAGTTTTTCATTTCTAATAAGTGAGGGGTTGGAGTAGGTGGCCTGGAAAGTCTCTTCCACTCTCAAATCTGTGATATTCTGATCCTAAGTAAATACAAAGGAATTTCAGCACCAAGAATGCCCTTGCAACTGGTGGCAGCCTCTGACCTGAGCCTTGAAGGAAGTTATGGTTTCTAATCAGCAGGTAAAGGGGTAGGATTTGAACTGGAGTCTTCCTGACTCCAGGTCCAACTCTCTCTCCACTGAACCCACCCGGTTTAAATTCAAAGAAGTAATCTGTTTTTCCTAAGGCTACATAGAAGCAGGATCTTAGATCCAGATCCAAAAGGGCCCTTGGGGGCCCACATCATCCAACTCCATCATTTCACAGGTGAGGAAAGTTGGGCCCACTCACGTTAAGTGACTTGTCCAAAGCCACCTGTGTGAAAAAGCATCTGAAGTGGTTCCTGAACCCAGGTCCTCTGTTTACAGATTTTCAATGGTACTAAGTCTCTGAGGTTGAATCGTACATATGGTGCCTGGCATGGAGCTAGGAAGACTTAGGTTCAAATTCCATCTCTGATTGCTGTGCACAAGTCACTGGATAGCCTTAATGCACAACTCAATGCTAGGATTCCTAGCCTGGCCTGATGCCTTTGCTGAGCATTAGTGGATTTTCTCCTTTCTTATCTCCTTGCCTTTCAGGAAAGAGGGTGTGCCTGGGAGAACAGCTGGCTCAAGGTGAGCTCTTCCTTTTCTTCACTTGCCTGCTCCAGAAATTCACATTCCAGGCTCCCCCAAACATCCAGCTGAGCATGGAAATCCGATCTGGCTTAACCATCTCTCCTGCCTCCTACCAAATCTGTGCCATTCCTAGAGTGATGTAGGCCAAGCTAGGCATGTAGGGTGGACTTCCAGAGAAGGACCTGGAACCACCCTTATGCTCCAAGATCACTTGCCCTTCCTTTTGGAGCTTGGGTGGGGAAAGGGCAAGACATCACACAGGTGAGAAGAGAAGAGGGAGACAAAGGGTGGGGGGCGGGTAGCTGTAGCCCAGTTTACAGATGGGAAAATGAAAAGGAGTTTACTAAATTGTAGGCTGAAAATAAAATTAAAAAAAAAAACATTTCTTGGGAAAATAGATGGAGATAACAATCTCTGTTAGTCTTTAGAGGTAGAACTAACAAGCCCAAAGAGACTTCCTATTTCTCAGAATACCTTTTCAATTCACTTCAGTTCAGTTCAGTGAAATGAGTTTAATTCTACAAACATTGATTAAACACATACTATGTGCTAGGCACTGTGAGAGCTGCTAGTGATAGAACATCAGAATCAGAAATGGAAAATAGTTCATGGTGTTGGTTGTCTGTCTCAATCCCTAGACAATAGTCCACAAAGAGAAGTATGTGCCTCCCAAAGGCTTCCATAGATGATCATTTGAGACATGGAAAGAAGATATTGGAACCTCCATCTATCTCTATTTTTGCTTAAATTTAAGAAAAAAAAGTTTTAATATTATTTAATATAAAAGTTGATATTGAGTGGTAACCTCTTCCCTTGCAAGGTACACAAGGAATTACCCAACATAGAGGTAGTTGATGGTGAAGCTATCACAGGTTCATTTATTTTCAGTATTATTCCTTTCCTCAACAAGTCAAGCACTTGTTAAACACCTACTATGTGCCTTATCACCTACTACTGTGCTAAGTTCTGGGTATACTTAACATGCCAACAAGCATTTATTTAGCACCTGCTGTGTGCCAGGTACTATGTTATTCACTGGTAAACAAAGCAATCATAAAAATGGGAAAACAACCCACACATACAAAATATTTATAGTAGCCATTTTTATAGTAGCAAAGAACTGGAAATTGAGGGGATGCCCATCAATTAGGGAATGCTGAACCAGTCGTGGTATATGAATGTAAAAGAATAGTATTGTGCTATAAGAAATGATGATCAGACAGATTTCAGAAAAACGTGGAAAGACTTACATGAACTGATGCTGAGTGAAGTGATCAGAACCAGCAGAATAAGGCCATTTAGTGACAGTAACATTGTGTGATGATCTACTATGATACACTGAGCTCTTCTCAGCAATGCAATGATCAAAGACAATTCCAAAAGACTTATGATGGAAAATGCTGTTCACAAACAGAGAAAGAACTATGGAGTTTTAATGTAGATCAAAGCATACTATTTTCACTTTTTTTCCCTTTCTCAAGGTTATTCACTTTTGTTCTGATTCTTATTTCACAACATGACTAATGTGGAAATATGTTTAATATGATTGTACATGTATAACCTATATCAGACTGCTTGCCATCTTTCAGAGGGGGTGTAGAAGGAGAGGGGGAGATAAAAATTTGAAACTAAAAATCTTATAAAAGTGAATGTTGAAAACCATCTTTACATGTACTTGAAAAAAATACTATCAAGTAAAAAAAGTAAAAACAAAGACAAAAATAAATTATCAAGGAAAGCTGCCCTGATATACCCAAACCAGAAGGCAAAATAGAAATTTAAAGAATTCTTCAATCACTACCTGAAAGAGATCACAAAATGAAAAGACCCAGGAATATCATAATCAAATTCCAGAGCTCTCAGATGAAAGAGAAAGTACTTTAAACAGCCAAAAAGAAACACTCAAAATACCATGGAGCTATGGTCAGGATCATACAGGATTTGGCAGCTTCCCAAATTAAAGAACTGGAGAGCTTAGAATATAATATATCAGGAAGCAAAGGAGTTAGGACTACAATCAAGAATCACCTATCCAGCAAAACTGAATATAATACTTGGGATTGTGGGCAGGGATGGACAACTAATAAAACAAAGGACTTTCAAGCATTTCTAAATAAAAGGCCAGAGTTGAATAAAAAAAAAAAATCCATCTCCAAATACAAATCTCAAGAGAAATATAAAAAAGTAAAAAAGAAACAAGAAAGTGATAACATCAGAGATTCAATAAGGTTAAACTGTTTATATATCTACAAGGCAACATAATATTTGCAACTCTTAAGAACTTAAGTACTATAAGGGCAATTAGAAAAAGGATGTATAAACAGAAAGTATAAATGTAAGGTGACTTTGATGGGGATGATACTCAAAGAAAATGAACAGATAAGAAAGAAGATTGCACTGGGAAAAGAGGGGGAGGAGATAAAACAGGGAAACTTGTTTCACATAAAAGAGTCCTGAAAAACTTATTGTAATGGAGGAGAATCTGAGGGAATGGCAGGCAAAGTTTGAACCTTACTCTCATCAGAACTTGCTCAAATAGGTAATAACATACACATTCAGATACAGAAATCTATCTTGCCCTATAAAAAAGTTAAAAAAAAGATGAGGATAATAGAAGGGGAGTGACTGATAGAAGGGAGGAGTGATTGGTGGAGGTGATCAGAAGTAAACCATTTTTGAGCAGGAACAAGGTGGGATTAAGAGAGAGGGATAAACAAGGGGAAGATAACATGGAGGAAAGTACACAATTTGTTGATATAACTATAAATGTGAATGGGATGAACTCATAAAATGGAAGTGAATAGCAGAACAGATTAAAAACCAGAATCCTACAATACTTTGTTTACAAGAAATATTTACAAGAATATTTGAAGCAGAGGGACACATATGGGGTAAAGGTAAAAGGCTAGAGCAGAATCCATTTATGTTTCAGCTGAAGGTAAAAAAGCAAAAGTAGCAATCATGATCCCAGAGAAAGCAAAAACAAAAATAGATCTAATTAAAAGAAATAAGGAAGGAAACTATATCTTGCTGAAAGATACCATAGATAATGAAGAAATGTCAATACTAAACATATATGCACCAAAAGGTATAGCAACTAACTTTTTGAAGAAGTTGAAAGAGTTAGAGGTGGAAATAGAGAATAAAACTATACTAGTGGGGGGATTTTAACTTTCCTCTCTCAGAACTAGATAAAATTGAACCAAAAAATTAACAAGAAAGAAGTCAAGGAGGTGAATGAAATTCAGAAAGAGTGAGATATAATAACTCTCTGGAGAAGAGTGAATGGTAATAGAAAGGAATATAACTTTTTTTTTTCCTCAGCAGCACATGGCCTCTACACAAAAATTGAGAATGCATTAGGTTGTAAAAACTTCACAAATAAGTACAGGAAAGCAGAAATAGTAAATTCATGATTTTCAGATCATCATGAAATAAAAAATTACATTCAATAATTGGTAATGGAAAGATAGGTTAAAATTTATTGGAAACTAAATAATCTCATACTAAATCATAAGTGAGTCAAAGAACAAATTATAGAAACAATAAATAATTTTATTAAACAAAATGAAAACAATGAAACAACACACTAAAATTAATGGATTTAACCAAAGCAGTAGTTAGAGGAAATTTTATATCTCAAGTTACTTAGAGCAATACAATAGAGAAAGATAAGATCTATGATTTTGGTATGCAGCTAAAAGAAAACTTAAAAAAAACAATTTAAAAATCCTCAGTGAAACAACAAATTGGAAATCCTGAAAATCAAAGGAGAGATTAATACAATTGAAAGTAAGAAAACCATTAAACTAATAAATAAAACTAAAAGCTGGTTTTATTAAAAAATAATAAAATAGATAAACCATTAATTTGATTTTAAAAAAAGAAAGAAGAAAATCAAATTACTAGTTTCATAAATGATGGAGGGGAATTCACCACCAATGAAGAGGAAATTAAACAATTATTTGGGGTTATTTTGCCCAATTAAATGTCAACAAATTTGGCAATCCAAAAGAAAGGGATGAATATTAACAAAAATATAAAATGTGTGCATGATTTAGACATAAATGTCAATACCATAAGTGAATTAGCAGAGCACATAATAGTTTAATTATTTGATCTATGGATAAGGGAAGAATTTAGGACCAAAGAAAACATAGCGTTGCAAAATGTAAAATAGATAATTTTGATTATATAAAATTAAAAAAAGGTTTTTGCGTGAACAAAACCAATGCAACTAAAATTAAAAGGAAAGCAGAAAACTAGGGGGAATTTACAACAAATATCTCTGTTAAAGACCTCATTTCTGGGGTGGAGCCAAGATGACTGAGTAAAAGCAATGATTTGCTTGAGCTCTCCCCCAAATCCCTCCAAATACCTATAAAAAATGGCTCTAAACAAATTCTACAGCAGCACAACCCACAAAAAGAGAAAGTGAAACAAATTTACAGCCCAAGACAACCTGGATGGTTGATGGGAAAGGCATATTACACTGGCTGGGAGAGGAATGCAGTTCGGCATGGGCGCACAGGCTACAGTGAACCTGAAGCAAGACTTAGAGGATTGAATCATGGGCAGCTGTGGTGGTTTCCAGACTTCTCAACCCATGAATGTCAAAGACAACTTAGATGGTCAGTAGAAAAAGTCTGTTTCTTCAGTGAGAGAGAGAAGTGTGGTGGTCTCAGCTCCAGTCCCTGAGTTTGGCCCCGGGGCAGCAGCTGCTTCTGGAGCTTCTGGCTCACAGACTGAGGGGGAATCAAGTGGCTGATCAGAGGGGGATTGCAGGGATCTCTCTGCTGGTGAAGGACTCACTTGCTTCTCCTGTGCTTGGATCTGGGTCACAGTTCTGAGTGGTGGTCCTGGGGCAAGTAGGAGAACTGGCCTGGTGGAGCTTGTAATGGCTGTGAAGAGTTAATCCTCCTCACAGTTCCAAGACAGATAAGAGTTCTTGTGGCACTCATAAAGCAGAGCACAGGCCAGGAAAGGAGTCAACACCTCACCCTTGATCATAGCATCTTGGAAGAACTGAAAATTTACAGGTCCCTAGAAACATCTCTGAAAACAGCTTCACAAAACCTCTGAAGCTTGGGATAGTACATTCTCCACATTGGAAACAGACCCTTACCTTAACAAAGAGTTTATAACTCAAGTAATTGGCCGGGATCATGAGCAAGCAGCATAAAAAGAGTCAGACTATATTATCTTACTTTGGTGACAAAGAAGATCAAAACATACAACCAGAAGAAGACAATGAAGCCAAAGCTCCTACATCCAAAGCCTCCAAGAA